ATGGAGAGTTGATTAAAAGCACCGTGGGGAGCACGGGCGAACAAATCAATGGTAATGATGGAATTATGCCCGAGCGGAACCCAACAGTCTGCAGTGTCCTGGTGGCTCGGAGCTGGGGATTAAAGGCTGCAGGAGCAGAGCCGGCCCTTGTCTTGCCTGTCACAGCGCTCAGGGATGGGCTGATCGATGGGATGGGCTCTGCTGCACAGCAGGGCGAGCGCTGCGGGGCGATGCCCAAGCCCAGCACAGGCACCTCTGCAGCCTGTGAGGTGTGAGGGCGGGATCCCGCCCAGGATGCAGGAGCAGCGGGGGCGGGATGCCCACACGGCTGTCCCGCCTGGAGTGGGACAGGGCTCAGCTGGGGCAGCTGAAGAAAGAAAAGGTAAAAGATGAGGGGAAAGGCACTGAGTGTGCTCGGTGAGGTCAGACAGGCAGGGGAGCAAAGCCACAGAGCATCCTGGTGGAGCAGGGACACGAGCGGCACTGGGGACACGAGCCGGGTAGCCGGGCAGGGCTCAGAGGCACCGGCAGGAGCTGAGGGAGCACAGATCAGAGCGGGCTGCAAAGGCACCGAGAGAAAAGCCTGGAGCAGCCTGCAGGGAGGGAAGAGAGGACCGGAGCAGCTACCAGGATAAATGCAAGCCTGGCTGCAGCTAGGGCAGCACAGGCTGAGGGCTGCCTGCCCTCCCTGAGCTTGCCCTGCTGGCTCTGACACCTCTACAAGCAGAATCAAAAAACACAGCCTCGGTTCTCTTCTCCTTTACTCTTTTAAGGATTCCTCTGGTGGTTTGAGGCACACATCTTTATGCACATAAATATCCCAGAAGCCCCTACCCCTAGGGCAGAGTCACCATTCCCACCTGGCTTTGTGTCTGGTGACCTCAGGAGAGAGGATGTGGGGACTGTCTGCCTGCCCCAAGCTGCTCACACAGCGTTGCCAGAGGGGAATTAAATGGGTGAAGAATGAGCCTACGAATAGAACCTGTCAGGATAGAGGTCTGTCCGTAAGGGACTGTGCCAGAACACGAAGCAACCCAGACATTTTCTCTCTGACAGCATCAGCCGTGCCAGCCCCAGGCCAGCTGCAAGGGCGGCACTGCCCACGGGAGGAATGCAAGAGGACAGGCTGACCTCAGGTTTTGCATGGCAGGAGATCCTCCCACACCACACAGCCAGAGCCAGACCTTTAGCAAACGTAAGGGCCATCATGCCTGGCCTTTTGGCACAAAGTCACGATGAAATAAGTGAAAGCTAAACACTTTCAAAGTCAAATATTTGCCCAGTGGTGAAAAAGGCCACTGCAGGCAGAGAGAAGCTGTTCCTAGGTGGCCTCAGCCTGAGCAGATCCTCCAGGACCACGCTGGTGGTCTCAGTTAAGAGACCTACAGATTGCTGGAGTCTACTTGTGCTCAGGCCAGCTGGGGAGGAGAGAGCAAATTTTAGTCATCCAGAGTCTCCAGAAATAAAATTCTCGAAAGGAAAAGACATAGACTCACAAGTAGAAAACACACACATTCTTTCCAAATGGTCTTAATGAAGATTATTTAAATATGGAGAGTTAAAATATCCCATATGTTAGCTCCCTTATGGATCTCTTATACAGACTCAAGCCTGAGCACAAACTTATTCCCTTATTGAGAGAGGACCTCAATACCAAAAAGCAACAATCTGGTGTTTGGCTGCTTCCTTGCTTTTTCCTAATAATAGTGTGTGAAAAGCCTAAAAGGAAAGTATAAAGCTCAGATCTGGGTTTGGGCACATGCCCCCAAACAGGCCCAATCTCCAGACAGGTTTCCTTCACTCTTGAAATCAGCAAGCCCCAGGAAGTGGAGACAGAGATCTAGAAACAGCACAAATGTGAAATGTAAATGCAACACATTCCAGCACAGACCCTCACTGAAACAGGCCCTAGAACAAAACTCTCTCTTCCTGCTGGTGACAATGCAAAGCATGTCAGCATAATGGTATTTACTCAGTTAAATGAGAGCTGTAATGCACTTCAGCCTTAGAAACAAAACTTGAGCTATTTAAGTGTCCTGGTTTCAGATCTGAGGCTTTATTTGCATGTGGCTGTTGACTTCGTCAGGAGTCACCACTGCCACCAAAGGCTCTGCTCTGAGAGCCACTTCAGCAGGAGACATGGAATGGAAAAAGCCCTTTTGCTTCAGCTCAGCAGAACCCAGAGCAAGGTTAGTTTAGATACAAATAGACGTCACTTCACCATCTTTTACTTCCCTTTCCCTCAGTAAATAGTGAAAAAACATATTCATCCTCTTGAAGATCTCTGACTGAGAATTAAACATTATTATTGTTAGGTACACTCATACTAAAGGGTGACGCTAATATGGTCAGTACAGACCATTTTTTTTGTAGATGAGGGTTCTAGGAAGTTTTAATGAGCACTTTTTCTCTTGCCTGTGTACCAGTCAGAGCCACCTACTTGTTTAAAATGGATTTTGCTATTTATTTTTTAAAACATATCTTCTTAAGCTTTCAACCCAGAGTATGCAGTTTTAGTTAAGCCCTTGTGGTTGTGTTCATTCTAAACTCAACTCCAAAAATTGACCTCTCTTGGGATGAAATTTTCTTTAAAAATATGATGTGGTAATTTCATTTTTAGTAAAGACACAACTGTCTTTATGTATGGAAGGCACTTGGGAAAAAAAAAAAAACAACACTTTATTTTTGTAGATCCAGCAACTTGAGAAGACAGGAGTGAGTGAACAGTGGGCTAATCATTTTGTCGCCACTGACAAGCAGGGAAGGAGTTAATTATCTGCTTCTTTTCACTAATTCTCTTGCAGAGCTTGGTTGTGCATATTAAATGTCTAAGTTACCAGATTTAAAGAAAAACTTGATCTCAATTTGGCTACATATTAGAAGTGCCATTCCCTGTTGTCCTACCTAGCACTGTTAATTGCATACATTTAGCCCTCTATTGGAGAATAATTTCGCTTCAGATTGAAAAGAAACAGCCCTGGCCTTGGTTATTTTGGCATACAAGACTCCAGTATGACTCTGTTTTCTAAGCAGACATTAATGATTCTAAAACTAATATTCATTGTTTGAAGAGGCATAGCAGCCTTGGCATTTACTTAACCTTTTGTCTCATGTATGAGACTGAGTCAGCCTAAATCCTTTTCTTAATTAATATCTATTCTTTTTTTGTTCTGTCCAACATTATTTATTAAACAATTTGCATGCAACAATTAAGAGTTGAGAGATTAGGAAAAAAAAAACCACTGTAGGAGCAAGCTCACTTGGTACAACAACAACCATCAAACTGGTTCTCCAACTCAAACAAAGCTCTGAGCAGGGATGAGAGGGGAATAGGGAGTAAGGAAAGTCAGGTAAAAATAAAAAAATCTGAAACCAAGTCCTACCATTCACCTCTTAGCCCTAACATTAAGCTATTCCCTACTAAAAAAGTAATAATTCTAGAAGGAAAGAGATAAAATACTACTGCAAAAGCATAAAACCCTGGGATTTGACACCTCCAGTGAATGTCAGTGATGACAGTTATGGTTGTGAATAAAGTGCAATCACTGAAACTGTTTGCTTATAGCTGTGGTAGAAAGAAATTATCATTTCAGCTTCCTGTTGTGCCTCACAGGACAGCAATGCCTGCTCCACATGAGCTGCCCCAACTGAGCTCTCTGATTCTCCAGCCTCTTTGTTTCTGTGTGCTTCCTTACACTCTTGTGGCCACAACTACAGTGAGTAACTTGCTGGGTGTGCCACAAAAGACCATTAAAATGTTGGGATCTGCGCGGACATTGGCAAGGACACCTCTGGCAATGGCAATAAACCATTCTGGGGTGGCATTATGAGCTGTATGACATTGCCACAGAGCAGAATGGCAGCTGCATACACACGGAATTCACCTGGAATAGAGGTTTCAGCATCTCTCCTCACCTTACCTCCTGGGCAGTAGCTTTGTGGAGTCACAGACACTTTGCTCAGGGGATTGTCTGCAAGACCTGAGCTGAATCACCTTTTATATCCTATCAGGGCTGGATGACAAACCAGACCTACAGGAAAAACTGACACTTTCACAAAAAGCACAGGTGTGATAGTATGAGCTGTATCCTGCATCCATCAGGACACCATTCCTCATACAAGGAATCTGATACAGTTCAGTTTCATATTTCTTTGGCGTCAAAGACATCCTAAACACTCTGCTAGCCAACCCCCAATTCTCTTGGGATCTCCTTTCTAAAAGGCTTCAGGAGATCCCTGGGCACCACACAAAGCTCTTGATCCACACCTTTCACGTGAACCAACAGAAAGTGAACCCTCCTACCCTGTGACGAGGTCAAAACACATGCTTGGGGGGAAGACAGTGAAGGAAAAAAATGGGACCAATGCTTAGAAACTGTTCTGAGAGCTGAGCTGGACCCCTGCCACTGTCTTGGTTCTCCCAAGAGAAACACTCCAGGGATCCAGATGTGTAATTTTCTCCACAACTACCTCACCAATGTGACACTACTTTAAATATTATTTCAGACGTGGAGTTCAGCAGGTAATTTCAAGGCATGAACTTCGGCAGCAGATTTTAAAATCCAAATGCACGTCTATAAACCCAACATATTAATAACTTAACAGTTTTCAATAAGACATCAACATTTGCATGTATCTTCCTACTTGTTATGTGCAGTTCTACATTTTTTAATGTTTCTTGGATGCTGGCCAGAGAGTCTGAGTCCCTAGTTAGTTCAGCTATTACTTTCTTGCCACAATAGATCTGGGTTTTGGCCAAGTACTGGACTCATACTGCATACAAAACCACAAATTTCTCTCCCTTATCTGTTGATAGTCTTCACTTCCCAGGGAAGAGAGAAAAATGACATAAATTAAGATAAATAAGTAAATAAAAAAAATTCAACACTAACTGTAGTAGAAGTATTTTTAGCATTTTTTAACACTATATATAATCAAAAGATTTCCTCATTTATTTATACTGCTTTAGTCTCCCAAGAGTCTAATTCATGACTATTCACCTGAACAGGGGAGGAAGATCTCTTCTTTTAATCCCTCCTGGAGCTCCTCAGGCTTTCCACAAGAGTGGGCAAGGTTACCTGACCTGAAATAAAACAGGGGAGAAAGAGGCTTCAGTATCATCCTTCCTTTTTCAGTGTTCTCAGCCTACAGACTATGGAGGGGTTTAAAGAGGCCATGAAGGGTTAGAGATGGCCTCTGTTTTACATTTGACCTTTTTATCCCTTACTCAGAGCCTCTGGTGCCTTCAGAGGAAGACGGATGAACACAGAGGAGATGCCTTTTGAATGAGGTTTGAAAACATTGTCCAGCACAGCTCTGGTGGCAGGGCAGTGAATGTTGCCTTTTATTGTGGGTTTAAGGTGGCAAACTCATACTTAGATTAACAAAGAACAAGGAGAAAGGAGCGGGTGACGCAACGATCCCGGCTGTGGCTTCCCAGCCGCGTTAATCCCACAGCAGCCTGAGCTGCCCCGGAAAGGCCTGGGCCTGCCCACTCGCTGGCCCAGCTGGGAAGGTTTTTGCTCACTTGAAGATCTACATTTTATCAGAGAACGAGGAGGCTACAACTTTCCCTGACCCTAAAAATGCCCCTTGGTGCTGCTGAGTGCACGGAATTACTGCACTCCTTGGAGCGGGGCAACGGGAAGGGGGTTCCTGCCCCTGGTGACCACGGAACCGCCACGGAACCTGAGCCAAGGACATGTGGGGCAAGGCCAGGAGCAGCAGGGAAGGCATCTCACCTTCCCTTGGGCTGCTGCCAAAATCCCATCCCAGTCCACTTCACTGTCAGTGTAACATTGATCCCAGCAGTCCACTGGGCTGACTTGGAAAGTATTCCTAATAATATCAAGGTAGATGACAAGGTAATAGAACACGATTCCTATACTTTCTGCTAGAGCTGTGTGAGTGGGTTTTTTTCTGTTAATTTGTCCAAATAAAGCATCAGTGCCTTAATTTCTGTTGTTTCAGAAATTAGATCCTCTTGAAGAATAAAAGGATGCTGTGTTCGAGAGCGGTAGCGTTTTTATGAAGACATGTAATTAAAGGAAGCCATTAAAGATACTTGTAAAAATGATTCAGATTTTTATATATGATGACTAACTAACTTATTATTGCTCTTCTTGGTCAGAGATTAATGGGAATTTCTTAAAGGATAGAGAATTATTTAACAAGCTTCAGGATATACAGGGTTTGGAATACACTATAATAATGTGAATAATAGGAAATGTGGCTGTTTATTCCCTTAACTAATGAACCAATATTAAATCCAGAGATAGCAAGATGTCAAAAAAACCCACACCCTAAACTAAAAATAACCCCAACCAATACCTAACAAGCAAGTGGATGTTTTTTACATAGATCTAAACATAAACTTTGGCAAGAAATCCCTCCCTTTAAGAGAATCGGGTTCCCATGTGCTCTAAATCAAAGTGGTAGAGGAACACACGAGCATGATCTCAGAAATGACTGATAAGCCCCAAAGACTATAAAGAGGGAGTTTAAAATCAGGGGATGCTGAATATTCAGCCACTCCTTGTGAGGGGAAGGATACAGCAAGGCAGAGAGAACAAAGCTCTACTGCCTGCAAGAGCTTCTCATGAAGAAATTGTCTTTAGAGAGGGATGACAACAATGTGTGTGGGCAAAGATTTCTGTGCAAGCGAACCTGACTTCTAAGATCACAAGTAGCAGAGTCACTTGATGGTTCCCTTGATGACGGCCCACATGGACAGCTTTCATTTTCCCAACTCTTCCAGGTTTTAAGTGACCTCAGCATTAGTGAATATCACATCCCCTCTGGGCTAGAAGCCTGTGCCAAGAGGGAGTGGCACATCTCTAGGCTGACATTGGCACTAAGGGAAGGGAGCAGGTAACACTTCAGGAGAGAAGGAAGTGGAAGGCAAACCAGTTTCTCAGGCAGCTCAAAAGAGTGTTTGGCTCTTTTCACAACAGATTTGACAAGTGTTTTCTGCAGTAACTGCTCAGAGCAACAAAGTGCACTGATTCCTGTGCCCAGGTGAAGCAGCAGTAGTTCCCCCTCTGACTGAAACAAATAAACACAAACCAGCTATTTTCCAAAGCAGATCCCAACCAAGCCAGGTAGTAGCAGTGAGCTTTCTGCAGCCTGACACCCAATTATTTTAATACCCACTACATCTCCCCCCTCTCTCAGGGCTCATTGGGTTTTTTTTCCTTTAACTTTCTGAAGGCACACAAAGAATTGAATAACCTTTTCTCTGCGTACCTGGCTACAGCCACATCACTGAGGGGGGTCCTTTCGACATTTTAAGGGACCTGAAGTGTGTGACAACATGGCACTGCAGTCAAGAATCTTGCCGGGAAACAGAATAAGAAGATTTATTTTATTTTTAATATTTGAAAGATTTCAAAAAGCATTCAACTGGATTTCTCACTAAGAGGATGAGTGAAGAGAATCCTTTGTAACTAAGCTGGGAGGCCCAAGTCTTTTATCCATTGTTACACAGTTTTTCCCCAGGGCAGAGTTAGGAAGGCCTGCAAGCCCCAGCAGCTTAACAAGGCGAGTACACTGGGTGGGCTTTTCTGCCATTGCCTAAGCTTCTCCTGAGGAAGGAACCGCTGGAGCCGAGCGGGTCCCGCACTCGTCCCAGGCCCCGCCAGGCGTTATTTGGGAAGATCCTGGTGGCAGCGGTGCTCAGCCAGCAGTGACTCTGCCCGGCCTGCCTGCAATGCACACACCCCCCCTCAGTGCCCAGACACCTCTGCCTCCTCAATAAACCAGGAGCAAAACCATTCCACACAAGATTAGCAGCGAGATGGCACTTGGATTAATTGTTGCGCATTGGACTTTGCAAACCGACTCTTCCTGTTGGCTTTTTTAAACCCTGACACACACCTGGTTGGTCAGAGATACCTTATCTCTTCCAGGATAGGCTGTGCAACAGGAGGAAACCAGTGTAACTGTGCTGCTGACACCTTTCTTTTCTTCTCTTTTGTGCTTTTTACATCTATATGTGAAAACCCTTCAGCCCTGATGCAAACGGGCCGGTGGGTTTTGATCACACAGACTGGGATATTCCCCAAGTTTGGTTTACAGCAGGGATGGACTCGCCCACCTTCCCCAGGGGCGTTTGGGTTCGGCTGAAAGCGAGAACTTCCCTGAATGATTCCCAACAATGTCAAAAGGAGCTCAGGGCCTGAAGTGGGACACCCAGGACACATTTTTACCCCCAGCACCACAAACTCTTGTTCTAGGCCTTGTCCAGCTTATTACAAACCCCTAAATATGCAAGATCCCTGACAGTTGTATTTTGCTTGGCAGCGTTTCACAGCCCTGATAGTCTCTGAGAGAGGTAAAGGAATGAGGAGCAGAAGGTCGAGGATTGTCCTGTCCATTTGTGCTTCAATCAAAGCCTCAGAATTAACCATTAAATGGTGCTCTCAAATTAAAGGTGAAATAAAATATTACTTCTAAGTAATTAAGCCCCTCTTTTCCTTACTTGCTATGAAATTTGTGAGACATTAACACAGCAAAAATTTTGAGGGCAAATGTCTTATGCACAAGTCCAGAGTAGAAGAATACGGAGTCTGTAAATAACAATGGAAATATTTGCTTCCTTGATCCCACTGAAATTAATGGTCTGTAGTTTAGGTATGTGTCAGTGCCATAAAGCAGGATATTCTTGGGAACTGGGTGCTCCATGTGTCAGTGATGGAGTTATAGAGTGGCAGTGGCCATTTCATGGTCAAAGTTACAGAAGGGGTTTTCCTTTATGCTCAATTCTCCTTCTTCAGCTTTTTGTTTATACTCCAACAAAAAACTGAAGAAATTCCTAAGTCAGACTTGGAGCCATGGTTGAAATTTTTTTATGAATTGGAAAGGGATTTGGCCAGAGGCTTTCAAATGATGGCACCCCTGAAAAAACACAGCTCACAAGCACAGACTGTGCCCTTCCTGGTTTTCTCACATAGGGGTGAACCTGGGTATGAGCAAAATTGTTTGACAAAATTATTGCCCCTCCCATGCCTCTTCTCCACTAAAGCCCAGCTCTCCTTCTCCAGCCTCACCATTCCTGTGGAGATGGTGGAACAACCCAAGAAAAAAGCATCTCGTGCTATATTTTAATGTTTATGGTATAGCTTTTTGTATAATAGGAATAATCGCTATTGCTTTGTAGTACACTTACAACAAATAGCTTCTGAGATTGCTCAAACACTTTAGCTCCCCTTCAGCTCTTAATCAAACTCAGCAGCTGTTTATTGCAATTACACCATAAAGCAATAGACATTATCCCTTAACTAACTGTCTTATTAATATAGGTAGTTACACAGCTACTTCATAGTTAGTCTTAAATAACTGCTTTTAATTATTTTATTAACATAAATAACCATCTCAATAAATTTAAATTAAATGCATATGTGAGAAAATGCAATTTAAAGCATTGCACAGAATTGCATCTGTTTACTAATGTTTAAATTGATGTCATTGTGTAATTCAATTAAAGTGGAACTTTAATTTATTTCAATTTTTGATGGCCATGAAATACCTACGACACCAGAACTTCCTAAAATCGAAATGGGCACTCTCTCCTCTTCTTGTGTTGCTGTATTTTCTTGGCAATATTAGTTTGCTGCCAGGCAAATAAGATTTCTCTTTACCCACAAAACTTACAATTTAATATCCCCATTTAATTTTGTTTTCTTCCCATTCCCAAAGCAACAGATGACTGGATTGCATTTTGCCTTTTGGTTCAGTTTTGCAACTCTGCTTTCAGTGGAGAACAGGATTTTCCTTTCCTGTGCAATGCTGGATCCTCCATGTCTTATGCCATTTGTTCTGCTGAGATCAAGCTCTTTGCCTTCAGCTAAAGGGAAGGCAGATGTTGCCTGACCTGGCCTGAAATCCCCCTTTTCTTCCTCAGGGGACCTGGTTTATTGTTCAGGGGGCTCATCCTACCCCAAAATCCTGCACTGCAGAGGAGGCAGCACTTGCACAGCAGCTTTCATTCCCCAGTGCCACCATGGAATGTGTCTCTGGAAAGGGACCCCAGCCCAGATTTGTGCATTCTATCCCTTATTCCACAGAAGGCTCTGCCCAGCACACTGGCCTATTCAGATTCTCTCTGGGGGATGAAACAAAAATCTCCTTTCCCTACTCTAGTTTAGGTACCTCCCCTGAAGGATAAAGAGGAAAATGCTTGCTGGAGAGCAAGGAGAAAAGGAAAGGGACTCCCTTCATCCCTCAGAGAGAACAGATGACATTAGGGAGCACTGGGAGAAACTAGAAGTGGAAAGTGTAAGGCAAGAATGGGGTGAAAAGGAAGCTGGAAAACATAAAGATGTCAAAGGAGGGGAGGAGGTCTCACATACTTTCCTGCCAGCTCAAAACTTTTAATTCTGTAGCTGGTGTAGGGACCTGACAATGTGAACTGCTACCTCTGAAATGACAGCAAACCCCTCAAAAGTAACTGGGATATATTGAGAAAAAGTGTTGAAGTCAGGAAAATGTAAAGCAAAATTTGTCAGAAGGTTTTGATTGGGTTCTCAGCAGCTTTATAACCTTCTAAACCGTGGAAACCAAGGCATATTTGGCACTTGGATGTCAGTCAATGCCAAAGATTTTACAGGAGAGCAATGAAGGGAAGAATTCGGTACAATAATGGTGACTATTGCTAAGTATCAAAGTCCATTACACCCTCTGGCTGGTCATCAGAGGACACAGTCTCCCTTCAGGGAATCATTAAAGAATTTCAAACCAGGTTTCAATGCATTTCCATACAGGTCCACTCTTTGTCAGGAAGAAGGTGCCTCAGTGACATCAAGCCTATGGAAAAGGGGAATGTGGCTGGGACAGCAAAGCTGAAAACAGTAACTTATTGATTTTCATACTTCTATCCAAATGCACCAGATAACATGAAGGAATAATTACAGGCTCCATCAGAGAGGGGTTGTGATCTGGCAGACACACTAAGCTCCCCTGGAGAAGAGCTCTTAAAACTTTACAGACTCTGCTGGGCAAAGACAGGTGACTCAGTACAAAGGGTTTTTACAGAAAAATGTAGAAACTAGAGTGAAAGCAGACATGTTTAAACTTCAG